GTCCTACTCAAGTGCAGCATGTCAAGTTGTAGCCTACTGACTGTCTGTAATTTTTTTCCTCATTTTGCAGGTATACTGAAGTTAACAGACCAATCTCTCCCATATATTTTTAAGTTTTATGAATTTAAAAAAAATGATGTTTCAAACTTGTGTAACATTTCAAAGCCTGTAGGACATTAAAAACAATAAATACCAACAAATAATCATCTTCCAACCCCCTCTGCCACTAAAAATAAGTTCTCCCCTCTTCGTTTCTTCCTGCACTGCCCCAGCTCTGCCCTGCACAGGTGCTGAAATCCGCGGCCGAAAGTCCGCCTGTACACCCCCCATCTCTGCGCTTGTGATTAATAGCCTACGGATTATTTTATTATTTTATTTTTTGCTAAAATTATGGATTTTTGAGGCTCATATTCAGACCGAGGAGTTGACATGTATGCAAGTGGTGAGTTCTAACTTAGGGAACGAGYGCTCAGAGGATGAAACAGTGACTGGAAGAGTCAAAAATAAAAAAAACCTCACTGAAGTTACTGCTGGTTGGAAGCATTTTTACAAGATCCACAAAAGATGTTTGTTTGTTATCTGGTCCCTGGAAGAGGTTCTAAATAAAAGCAGACTTGGCTCTTCTGGATGCGTTCAGGGGAGAGCCCGCTTTCTCTACCTCACCTCAGAGTCTCGACTCGGCTTCCTACTGCCTCCAGACCGGTTCGGTCTTGTCCCGTGGTCCGAGGAGCTCGGAGAAGAATGTGCAGGAAATCCGAGATCGCACAATAAATCCAGTGATAAACGTACAAGTCTCAGCAAAAGAAGTCATTCTGTGAAAGACGGACTAAACACAGTTGAAAKTGCATTTGCTGTTGACTTTTTGAAACTTCTGATTTCAGAATAAAATCCACATGTATCATGTGTGTATGAGTATGTTGGGAGCTGCATGTTTCCATCTGCTTCCTAATCATAATGATGCATTTTGACAGCATTTATGTAAAAATATACCCATATAATTATTAATATAACAAACATTTTGACAAAATTGCTCTTTCTTAGGGTTTTATTTTGTAAATACAGAATTTGTACTCGTTCTTCTTCCTGTTGGTGCGGTGTGATTTTTGTAAAGTGACTCTGGAGCAGCTCCAGCGTCGGATAAAAGATGAATCTAATTTTGGTGGATCTGGGTCCACTCACTGCTCTGCACCATCATGAGGAGCCAGTGTAAATACTGTCACTGATTATGATGCTTGCATATTTACTGCAGAGGTTGGACCAGAGCAGAACAGCAAGGTGAAAATTGAGGGTTAAGTTCTTTCTCCCTCTGAGCCCGAMAGGGTCCAGACTCACTCTGGGTCCCAACCCAGGCCCCACATGGCCGCCATATGTGCCGCCCTCCCAGCCCACCTGAAGCTCTGCCCCTGGCCTCAACACAGGGTAAATCCTCCAGATTATAGAACAAGTCTTTTTTATTAAGATAATATGAATCATATCCTAAATGTACGCATATATTAGGGGTCCAACAATACATGTACCCGTATCAAACCATATTGAACAGTGCTTTAGGTTCAATACACACTTGTATCGAACAATACAGATTTTTAACATTTACTTTATCAACTTGTATTATGAAGATGCTCTGTGTTGAAGGATCAGTGGATCTGTRTTCGACTACTGCACCTAGGCTGCATTTTTGAGCGAAGATCCACTGAGAAACTTGCTGTTTCAGCAACAYTTAATTTAAAAACTGTACTTTTGAGGTTCAACAAACGTTCAKAATTAATTTCAATAAATTACAAGTTAAAATGGGCATGGAAATTTCTCTTTTTTTGTATCGAAAAAATATCAAACCCTGAGACTAAACTATCGAACTGAACCGAATCGTGAATTTTCTGCATTATTGCAC